GATGTTTATCTTCTTCTCTCTGAACTTTTCTTTTACTTCCCATACTTTTGAACTCAAGCACCCTTGTAAGGCAGAGCTAGAACTATGTGAACTACTATAAAAGGATTATTCATAAACACTGTGATGTATAAATATTAGAATACTATCAATATAGAAGAAGATAGTAGGAAATATCTTCATGGTATGACATTTTCAGTACATTTCTCCTTCCACCAAGTTAAAAAAGAGTCAATTGCCTTAAGATCACACTGGTTTTTTGTGCTGTTCTCCAGTTAGCATCACATGGACTCTTAACTGTGCAAAGCACAATTCCTTGAAAGGATGCTTTGATGACTAAAGTCACTGAGGTCCCCTCTCGTCACTTCTAAAGAGAAATGTTGATTCATTCTAGGAAGTGACAGGGTCCCACAGGACAGAGGCTGCTGGGAAGCCGTGCTATATCACCTGCCCTGATCTTTCTCACCTTATTCCTGATGAGTTGTTCCAGCGTCAGTAAAACTTTCCTCCTTCCTCGAAAGTTTGCCTGAGAAAGAGTAAGGCCAAGATTTCATTATTAGCAAGGAAATCCCACCAGGTTCTACTCCCCCCTCTTTCCTTTGTCCTGGCACTAGCCTGTCCCCTGGGTGAGACTGTTCACTGAACCAGCACAAAGCTAACTTAAGAAGAAAAACCTAAATGTGATTACGTGTTTCCTGACACTTTGGCATTCCCAAAGGCAAAGCTGAAAGCAGCCAGAAAACCACCCAGTCCCTTACAAAGAAAGCAAGTCAACGGGCAAGGGCTCTGCCAGACAAGTTCCCTGCCGCTCTTCGCAATATGCATGTGTCCTGCCAAGCTGCTCAAGCTTACTCCCTCCCTAGCAAATCCCGAGGCAGATGCTGAGCTGCTGCATCCTGAGCCACAGCAGCACTGGAGAAAGTCACCTTCACCTATCTTCTGAACGAGCATGCCAGAGAGGGGCTGAGGGGCCAAGCTGTGCAGCCCCACACTGCGCTGAGAAGAGAACGATGCTCCCCCAGCTCAGTACAGACATCCATGATGAGTGGGGCATTGCAATGGTTAGTCCTTAGGCTCCTGCACATTTGTTTGTGGATGAAGCTGGGCAAAACAGCAACACTGGTTTAAGGTGCTCTGCTGCCTGGTCCAGACAGGGAATTGGTTCCTGTGCCAGGCAGGGTCCTGCAAGCAGGAGACACTCAGAGCCTCTGTTTGGCTGGGGAAAGGAAGAAGCATTTATCCTGAAATACTGGAGACACATGGGAGGATGAGGGGAAATCTCTCCAACCCTAGTCATTTGAAGTCAGAAATCAAAGCTCAAGAGCTTGAAACTTCAGCGGTTTACGATCTGATCCAACAAACCCGCCAAGCATGCCCACACTAGAGACACAGTGTCTGTACATAAACAATGAATGCCTCAAACTAACATCTGCGCCTGGGATAGATCTTACCGGTTGTGTTGACTTCACATACGGGAATGCTTCGGCATCACTGGGAAAGCAGAGGTGGGCAGTCACGCAGGCTGAATCTGCAGAAGCTATCACGGACGTGAAGCCTGGGACACTCTGCTCTGTCTCCGTTTCACCCTTTTGCTTTTGCTGGAAAATTACACATACACCCCCCCCCCCCCCCCCGCACAACACCACTTTGCTCCTCGTGGAGACAGCCAGCTCAGGACTGTCTTAGGTAGAAAGAAACAAGGTAGAAACAGTGAAAAAGCCATCAAGGCAGCCAAAGTAGAAACGCAGGACACAGGTGGTGAAGAGCTCATATCCCAGCCAAATGGCCAACCCGTGCAGGTGTCCACAATGCACCAGCACTGACGGTCAAGCACCAGAACAAATAACAAGATAACTGAAAACACAGGAATACAAACAACTGCTCCCATTACTACTGAAAACACCCGCTGTTCCTGCTTCCCTTGTCAGCTCCAGTCCAGGCAAAGAAGGAACTGAACCAAAAATTTCTCTTTGATGTCAGAACCAGAAAGTCCCTACTGAAAGCGCTTATGCTGGGGAACTGTGGTCTGACCTCCACCTCTTTCAAAGCGTCAGCCAAGCACCTCCTAGTCTGCAGCAGTGCTGGCGAGGTGGTCAGGCCACAGATGCTTGGCTGGCAAAGAGTGTGGTGGCGATTAGGCATGCAGGCAGGATACAGATAAGGCGAGACCCAACAAGAACGGACGCATCTCTAATCCAAGCTTGGATGTAGTGAGGAGGAGAGGAAGGTGTTAGGGCAGTGGCACCAAGGATGGACCACAGGGAATGGGCAGGTGGGAGATAGCGCATCGCAATTTGCTCCCAAAGAGCAAGATCTGTTGCGTTCAGCCACTGACAAGTCAGTGCCTGGACTTAACTGCTTTCTCAGCAAGCAATGGATACCAGCATCTCCTGGAGGCATTCGGGTTTTGTTCAGTATCTCTCTGGGGATATAGGCTCCTTCAATGACTGTCCAGGCCTGGACGAGAGACCTCACACTACATCGCCGTAAGCCATATTTAGGCTGTTAACTCCAGGCAAAAGGCCTCTCCAAAACAGCATGGGCCTCCTGCAGCCTCCCTCCGGCTGGTTTCTCCCCCTTGGCAGGAGCTGTGCTGGCTGATCTTTCCCTGCACACAGAGGTGGCTGCCAGCACCGCTTTCATCTCAAAGCTGGGAGGCAGAAGGCACTCGGCCATTAGAGCAGGCAGGAAGGCAGTGTTCAACCCGGCTGCTGCAGAGCCAGTTCTGAGCTTCCACTCTCCTACAAGAGCTCCTGCATCAAAGTTTCCCTTCCTCCTCCTCCTCCATCACCAGCCCTGCAGGTGCCAGGCAAAGCCTCTCTTCCCATCCCTGCATCTCTAAATCTGCCTGGTTGCTGAGCATGTCTATTCTAGGCAGCCAAAGGCAGGCGAGATGAGGGAAGCGAAGCACACGCATCAGTTGCGTCGTGAACAGCATCGCTGCCAAGTTCTTCTCTGCTATAGCCAGTTCAGGCAAAGAACGTCTCTGATGTGGAACTCCAAGCCAAGTAACACAATTTGTGAAAGAAATCAGGGAAAAAAGTTCTTTCCATACAAAACATCCAGGCAAATCTCAATTATCTGGGGACGCAGGGAAAAGCAGAAACAGCCTTTTTAACAGGAGCTACTTAATACAAAACGTGGGTCAACAAAGTGAGTAAATCTTAAAGAGCAAGGTCAGGATAGAAAAGAAATACCATTTTGGGACACCGATAACCCCAAACTGACCTAAGCTGAGAACTGACATGGTACAGCAAAGCAAACTAGTTGCTCTGGTCCCAAATCAAGTCCTGCTAGCCCTGAGCAGGTCTGGAAGAGCCTGCAGATTCTTTCCAGCTTTAGGCAGCAGCATCTGCGATACAGCTAATCCTCAGTTAGGCTTTGTGGATTGAGGGCTGACAGCAGAGCTTGTCTCCACAGTGGGGAAGGGAGGGAGGATGCTGAGCATATGCCACACCATTCTCTCAGCAATGCAACGAACGGAGGCACCAGGGGTGGGAAAAAATTAATCACTCTTCATACACGTAAAATCACAGCCATCATCTGGACTGGGTGTCCAAAGTGGGTAATGAGGGCAGTAACCCGGAAGGGTGTATCAAGTCAGGAAAGCTGGTTAAATCCATCACATCTTATCTCCTACATATTGAAAAATAAAACCAGCCCCTCCCTCCTGAGAGGCATAATCCTCTAGACAGGATTAAGGTCTATCAGTCAATGGGCTATCCCGGAGGGAACAATCCAACATTCACAGGGTGATAGCTGAGATTGTATCAGCAAGCTTGGAGAGGAATTAGAGAGGAGCACAGGCAGCCTGAAGATAGGAGAGCATTTTCTGCTTTTAACATCCCTAGTAATGCATGGTGGCATTCCAGGCAAACCAGCTCCCGTTTTCATGCCTTGTTAATTCTCAATGGTACAATCAGAGTGAAGCCAGGCTCAGCTCTGGTTCTGGCTTCTCTCAGTTCATGTTGATTGTAATTACAGGCAAATGCCTTTGATTGTCTTTGCAACTCACGTCCACGGCACCACGATCATGGCACCCAGGATTAGAACACACTTTGGAAAACACTAGCTGCAGCCAGACTAACCAGTGTCAGAGACAAGGCATTTCTCCCACGTCATTTGGCAGCACCTCACACGCTCTGGAAACTGCCTCAACACTTGTGCTTGCCTTTTTTTTACCTTACTGTCATCTCGTGGTGGCTATGAACTCCTGCACCTGTGCTTGCAGGACTCTACCAGCCTCACCCAACACGACTGAGAACTAACAGGTTTCTGCTAAAAGTAAGTCATGATGCTTCTCTGTGGCACATTCTTGGAGAAGATCTGTAGCACAAGTAGCTCTTTTGTATTGACCTAACTCTTGCATTTTCAGGAAGGTTGTGCAGGTCAGCTACGCCCCAACCACTGCTCTCCTGACAGACACAGCTTTGCTCTGTAGGAGGGGTGCCCTCTGGTGAAATCACAACAGACCTACAACAGGCAACGCATTTTCTCCTGTTCCTTCATGCAATGAGCAGTGCCTCGCAGACCTGGACACAACCCGGGACAGATCACAACCCAAACAACAGGCAAGTGAATACAGTCCATTTAATGCAGTTAAACACAGAGGGACCACAACAGCAAAACAAGACAGACTGAGGCATGTCAGGTGGACAGGAATGGAACAACATGCAGGAGAATATGCCGACACGTCTAAGACCGCAGAACCGTAGGTGCCACATCTCTCCAACACGCACAGCCACCTCTTTCTCTGTGCTGGACAAAGTTCTGAGGTCTCATCTCTGGTGGCTAGAAGGCGGCTGGAGAGAGGTATCTGGAGCTGGAGGAGCTGCCCTCAGCACGGTCAGTGCTCTCCAGCAGGAGCACACAGTCCAAGGAAAGGGGCAGCTACCCCAACTGTTTCTGGAGAGAGGAACCCCAGTGCAGAGGAGAGTTTCAGGGCCAAGTCCCAGACCAAGGAATGTCACAGCTGCCCCAGCACAACTCACCAGTCCAGCCTCTTCTGCCCCAAAAGCTAGGGAGCCCCACCAGCAAAGATGAGCTCCAGGGCAGCCTGAATGTCCCCTCCAGTGGCCTGCAGGGCTCGGAGACTTAGCTCATCATCATGTATGCCCATGTCTCGCAGCTGCTGAAGCTGTGGTTGCCACTGGCTCTACAGACAGGAAACAAAAGAAACTAAGGGTTGGTGTGAGAGTTCAAGCAGAAATAAAACAGCCTTCTTCACAGCCCACTCTTCCACGCTGCATTCTCCCACCTCTAGCTCAAATGCGCAACACTAAGTGTGCAAACCGATCGGAAAAGCTCCAAGTCTTGCTGCAAACTTCCCAAATCCATCAGCCCACCCCTCCTGCTTCCACCTAGTTCTTTTGCATCAGTATGATGCCTCCTACAAGCACCCCTTCTTCAGCCATGTCCCTTTCAGCTTGATGTCCTGCCGCAGGAGGCAGCTGGAAGAACTGCCTCCACGCTGCAACACTTGATGCAATATGGGGCTTTCAGAGGCTCCCAGAGGTAGAGGCTGTGACACTGACCTGCAGGCTGGGCTGCCCTGAGGCCTGCAGAGCATGCTGTAAGGCCTGGCTGAAGAGGTCATTGGTGATGGGTGTCCCTGACTGGACACTGGATGACATTGGGGACGTCCCAGAGGAGTGACCCTAGGAGGAAAGAAGTTGTATATGGATCAGGAGAACACTTACCACAGGAACCAGAGCCAGCTCAGGGCAACACATGCTGCACCCCCACTATCATGCCTCCCCAGGCCTGCATGCAGGAGACCCCAGACATAAGAAAATAAACCAGCGAGGACTCCCACACCCAAGCAGGGCTTGTGCTCAGTCAAGCGCTGATTTTGAGGCTCAGGAGGGTTTCTCTAGCTGCTGCGCTGCCACTGTACCTGGGTGCCGGGAGTGGGCGTGTGGGAGCTGCTCTCTGGGGTGCTCGCCAGTGCCAGTGCGGTCGCCAGTTCGCTCTGGGTGATCGGCCGGGGTCCAGCAGCCCCAGCGTAACCAAGGGAAGCTGGGCGGGAACCAGAAGTGCTGCTGGATGGTGTAGATCTTGTGCTCTGCGTGGAGGGAAAAAAACTCAAACAACCAACCACCTTTGATGTTGCTGTCTGTGTCCCAGTAAAACCTGGCTCATGTGCTCATCCCCAGGGATCCCCTTCCTGCAATACGTGAAACTCAAGTGCAGAACTTTTAAAAACTAAACATGACAGAATCAGATGTGCTTTCGCACAGACTCAGTTTTTATAAAGCTGTAGAAACTGACAATAAACCTTTTAATATATCACCCATCAGCTGAAAACCAAAGTGTTACTAGCCTATAACAAAGCAACCATTGAGAGGCACTTGTTTTGCCTAAAGACGTAATTTCCCTTTACAAAATACTTTGTCCTTAGAGAGGAAAACTGCACTATGTTACAGAAAAAGGGCAGGAACCAACACTCCCATGCTTCTTAGCCACACTCGTCTGTGCACAACTCTGGCTCTGCATCAATTTGACTATGAAGATGTTTACTTTGAGGACAAGTGCTGTCACGAGTCGTACTTCTGCATTCTTCTGTTGCAACCCTAGCTCAGCACTCAAGAAAATTCTAACACAAACAGCATCCAAGCCCACCACAATCAACATGTTTGTTTCCACAATACCCTTAGGAGCCAGAGTGGCTCACGCTGTTCATGAGGAAGAAAAAGAGAAAACTTCTGGAGTGTTTAAGGGCTGCAAGCTAAACCCATATTGCAAGTCCGAAAGAGCCATTCTACCCAACCTGGCTGCTTACCTGGTGGAAGTCATCTTCATCATCAGAGAGACCTTCAAACAGAAAGCCACCTGCAACAGAAAGGAGAATCAACAGATGCAGAAAAGTGGGTGCTGGCAGGAATTAGGCACCGGACCAGAATCCTGGAGTCCTTGGCCATGCAGCCAGGCTCAGTACCAGCTAACACACTGGTAAGGACAGAGGCCTCAGCGCCAACAAGTTCACATGCAGCAGGTCAGCAGAAGACAGGTCAGGCCCATCATTTGCACAAAACAGAGGCCACAGCACTCTGCCACCAACAGTCACTATACAGGCTTGGCTGGGAGAGGCCCTGAGGCTGAAGTGGACTAGGTGAGTCTCACACAGCAAAAAATCTATCAAACTGCAGCACAGGAACCCAAATGTCTCTTCCTTCCAGCCTGGGGATGACCGTGTCAATACAGCAGATTTGTCTGCAAACCCTGCAGCACATCTCTGCAGGTTCCCCACTCATCTGCGGGGCTGAACGTACCTGGCATGTCCCGGTAGGAGCCAGAGGACATGCCTCGGGAGGATGTCTCTGGGGCTGGGAGCGGGGTGCTGCCAGCCACTGAGTGCAGAACAAGGACAATGGCGTTCACAAGTGCAGGGTGGGCTGGGATTAGCCTGGAGAGAAAGAGTGGAAGAAACCAGCAGCTTGATACCAGCAAAGAACTGACATCAGGAATGGCAGAGCCATCCTCGCTGGCTGAGCCCACGCCACTTCAGGTACTGCCTTTGGCTGTCCGCAACAAACATCTCCCCACCTTGTTTCACATAGCCTAAGAAGATGAGGCTCCTTGATCCCACACTGACCTTCCCACTGAATACATCTCCCATACCTCTCATAAGGGCGACTCTTTGCTGTGAGCAACCAGATCCAGACTTGAACCCATGATCTGAATGCGATTATGGCCCTATCTCCCACTAAATATCCTTTGGTCTAATCCAACAGTGGAGGTGGATGCGTGTCAAAGCATCGCTTCCCTCTTCCCTACCACTGAGGAAGGAGTCCTACCCCGGAGCAGAACTCTCTCCCACCCAGAGAGAAGCGGTCTTGTACAACAAAGGCATTGCTTAGTCACTGCACCAGCTTGCGTGAACTTACGTGTCCAGCATGTTGGGGTCTGCAAACACTGAAAAGAGATCCTTGTCCTGTAGGACTCCTGGGAGGGACCAGGAAACATGACGAGTAAAAGACAGGATCCAAGAAATAGGAGTCAGTCAAACAAGAGCCATAGGAAAAAACAAAAGGATTAATTGTTTTTCAGGAACTGAGTCACTAGCAGACACCATACTCTATTCTTGTTCTCTCTGAAGCCTTTTATGTCTTCCTGGAGAGACTCTAGGTCATAGCCACACACCCAAGGGACAGGGCTTTCCCAGAAGACCCTACGGGCTGTGCTCCAGCACAAACAGCGCCACCTTAAGGGCAGGATAGAGTACGGCACCCAGCTCACTCCAGCCAGGTTGTTACCGCATCCCATATTCCACCTGTCTCATAGTGACGTGCCAAAAAGGCTAGTAACACCCTGGGTCAGAACGAACAACCTAGATTGAATGGAAATTTTTGTAACACTTTGCAGGAGGGAGAAAGCACCCATCCTCACTGCTCTCCTTTGGGCTCCCTGTTCCCTAATCCTTGTGAAGGCTGTGTTTGTCCCCAAACATTACCAATAGAGCACAACCATGACACGTGAGCAGGCATTTACTCTTCTGCTCCACACAAAGGGACTGAAAAAGATGCTTTCTTCAGAGAAGGGGAACTCTCCCTTCCCCGCGTCAGGAATTACTGCCTATATTTGGCTTTCCTCAGATCCTCTGGATCACATCTTGACTCACCCAAAGCAACAGGGTCACTGCTGAGGCCGGGAGTAGCTACAATGATCTGATCCAGCGACTCCTTGTTCCCCAGCATTTTGAAGACCTGCCAGAGAAATCACAGCAGGTCAGCAGCACCGCACAGCTAGGCTCCGCTCCATGACTCTCTTCACAGAGGCAAAAGACACCCAGACAGCAAAGCATGAAACCCCACGCACCGCATCTCTGTAGGCAGGACTGCTGTGCAGGGCAGTGTGAAGGACTCTGAACTCCCGGACTGCTGCAACCTTATCCACAGGTTCTGAGGGAGGAAAAATGATAGAATAAAACATGGTTCTCCCTCTGTCAGCTTTACTACCCATTTTACATGCCACTGGGACTTCCACACTGCAACAGCATAGATGATTCTTTAATTCACCTGGATTCAACTGACCCAAAGAGGAAGAACACTGAGTAATGATTGCGAATATCTCCGCGCAGTTACCACAGCATAACAAATAACTGCACTCGCAGCTTCCAGACACATGAAAATATATAGCTACAGCCTCCTACACATACAAAAGGAGCTGTATTAAAGGAGTATCTCTAAACCAACACATCTTATTCTACAGTCGGGCAGACTAGGAACATACACAAGCTGACTCATCCCTCAAGCTGCATAACCTGTCACTTTGTTCCTGATTCTCTAGCAACACCCTAAAATTGATCACAGCCAATTAAGCTCATTCCTTAACTCTCCCATCAGCAAGAAAACACAGCATTCATTTGCTGCTGTTAGAGGTGGGGAGTTCCCACAGAAACATACTGATCAATTCCTCCTCCAAACCTCACATCAACCTGCCAGAAACAAATCACAAGAGAAGCTGATCCTCAGTCACAAGGGACCACCACCAAACACATCCTGACAAGACCTAAGGGGTAACCCACACTGTCTTTTCCTCACCTGGTTTTTGATCAGGCTCAGGCCACGACTTGCGCAGGACATGAACAGTGGACCCAGACTGGATGCCATAAAAATCAAGCGTCTGGTCATCCCTCAGCTTACGGCCACAGTAGATCAGATCTAAGAGAGAGAAACATCAAAAGATAAACATCTGTGGTACACACAGAAAAGGCCTGGGGTCTCCAAGAACTGAGGACTGCCTGGGGGTTGTTGCTCCGCAAGTGTAGCTGCTTCATCTGGTCAGCAGCACAGGAACTCTGTAACACAGGGAAATCACGGAACTGAAATTCACACAACTTGACTTTGCCACCTGCTTTAGAAGGGCCAACCTCTTTCACAGTTCTCGAAAGAGATCTCACAAGGGCACGATGGTGTTAGCAAGGGCACCAACACGATAAGAGCACCGTGATCCTGCGCGAACACAGAACAAATTATCAGAGTCGCAAGGAACTAAGATGCTCCAGCACAGCAGTCTCTGGAGCAAGCTTTGAGCCCGCACACCGTGCTATCCGCTTACGCCAAGGCTCCACGCGAGCCCAGAAATCACTAACAGTAGAACATTTGTGTCCTGGCCACAGCGAGGAGAGGAAGAGGATGGCTTCAAGTGGCAGGACTTTGACAGGACCCACACAGGCACCTACCGATGAGCTCAGGGTCTGGGACGGACTCCTGCAGTTTGCCAGTGATGAGTTGCTTGAGGTACGAGATGCTGCACACACCGAGCGGGCATTCTCCCAGCTCTGTCTCGGGCAAACGTAGGATGGATTTAGGAGCCAGGGGCTGATCCGCCAACTTCACCGCAATGTGCCACTCCGGCAGGGACATTTCGGCCTTCGCACTGAACAGATCCAAGCCAACCTAAGACCGGCAAAGCTTTGGCAAGGAAGGAAAGTGAATCTAAGTGAATTTCTCCCTCAACCAGACAACAAAACCATAGAAATTCACAGCTGGGAAGCATGCAGAAGACTAATGGGAGATCTGACCAACACACAGCCATGCTTTTAGGCTCCTACCTCAGTCTTAAGCCATATCTGAAGCTAAAGGGCTGGCAGCAACACCCCTGCCAGCCTCATCGCTCGGCCGAGCAAGGAGAGGAGCCAAAAGGCAGGGCCGGCCCAGTTCTCCTGGCGCGCACATCCCCCAGGGCAGGCTCCAGCCCCTGAAACCCCCCTTCCCAAGACAGAGACGGCGGAGCTGAAGGGGAATGAGAGGAGAGGCGCCCGCGGCCGCTCAGCGAGGGGTCCCGGCCGTGACAGCTC